CTTCCTCAGGGCTGGGACAAGAAGGAGCGGGCAGGAGCGGCGGGCATGGCAGGTAACGAGCAGCACAGACAGAGCCACCACGAGCAGGAACCCCCCACCAGCGCCGGCGCCCCGGCCCACCTCACCAACTAGGTAAAACGCCTTAGTCATCTTAGAAAAGAAACTAAAAACAAAACCCAGGAACAGACACCGCTCCCTGTGGCGGAAAAGCTACTACACGGCCTGAAAAGTACTCTACAATAACCTATAAAAGGACTTCTTTTATTTTTTTATTTTTAAACTAGTCTGGTAGTTCAAAAGGAAGATACTTAACTACGTCGCTACACAGACACTTAACATTCAGTCAGTAAGGCTCTATGAAAAAGAGCTTAAAAATTATCTACCTGAGTTTGTAGGTTGATACAATCATTAAGAGACGGTCTAAGACCATGCAGGTACACAAAGCATTTTTAGAACCATTATTGGTTAAACAATGATGGAAAAAGACGCCAGTCTGGCTCGTTAACCCGTAAGATCACTTAGAGACATCAATGTACTTTTTCCACCATAACATTTACCAAACCCAACTCAGGCTGTTGTTATTGTTGTTACCCACTTCTGTCACCGCCCCCAACACAACAACGGGGGGGAAAAGATATATTTTTTTCTCCCAGCAATATTGTGAGAAATGTGCTCTGCAACGTTACTCCATGGGTGAAACACGGGGCATGGTGCACGTTGCTACTAAAGTCGCATTAAAAACCCCAACGTACTGGTTTTAAACTGCCTCTCCAAATAAGAATATTGGAACCTAAGCTGCTCTCCAGGAATAGGAACTTGGTTGCTCTGTCATGGTGGAAAAGATCCCATTGTGTCAAGAAAATTACAAATACAATCACCAAGTCATTAAAAAAAAAAAAATCAGTATCTTATTCCCTTCAAGCATTTGGTATCGCGTCGCGTTTACAGAAATCATAACCTTTGTCTCTCCAAGCAGGATGTAGCTGTAGGCATGCATAAAAGTAAATTTTTCTCTTGTAGAGAGGAGACCTAAAGGTCTTAAGGACGTAAGAACTCTGCAAATGAAGGGGAAGCATGTCGTGTCAGCCAGCAGTGTCTAATACTGAAAAGAGCTGACGTTTCCATGCTTTGTAGTGAAAGCAGAACAAACTCCAAAGTGTTTCTATTTGCTCGCTCCAGTGTGCCTGAATAGATGAACATTCGGTTCTATTTACAGTTTCTCTAGCAAGGACAGGTTAATATTTCCATGGGCAGGCAGCAGAAAAGAAAAATCAAAATTAAAAAAATAAGCAAGAAGACACCACATTGGACACACTCAGCATCTCTGCTTCGATTAAAACGTGTGTTCAACGGGCAGGATGAATCCTTCCCCCAGGCAGATTCTCAGTTATTTCTCAAACCTGTCTGATGATTGAGGTAGATGATTTAGTTCTGCAAAGTGAGGTAGAACTTCAAGAGGAAAAAAAAAAAGTGGCATCTCAAGTTGTGCATTTTGTACCACAGCAAACTGGGTTTCAAACTCCCAAGGACTCAAAGACCAAAAGGTACAATATTTGTCTAAAGCAAGTACCAGTGTTCATTTTTATACAGCTCCAAACTGTTTGTCTAAACATCTATATTTTTAAATACCCTATTTTCTTTTGGCACCATTTGGCTTACACTCCTTAAAAAAAAAAAAAAAAAAAAGAAACTAAAACACCCATGAAACAAAACACTTTGGCACTTCCTTTTCATGATCATTGGCCAGATAAGCCTATAAACCTGCTGTCTTCAGAGACTGATTGATTTTGGTTTAAGTTTAGCTAACAGACTGGGCCCATTTTCCAGCAATTCCAGGGAACGCCGTGCCCAAGCACCTTGCTCTTCTGTCTCCCAACCTGATTATATCTAGTCCTAATCCGCGCTAGATTTTGTGTATTATTCTACCCTTTTCCTACCTATCCTACCTCATGTTATTTAGAATTTAGGCTTACAGGCTTCCCAACTGAGTCGTACTTAACTTTACTCCTTTTCTTTAGCACCCTTTGGCCCGTGGTTGGCAGCTGGAACTGCTGCTCCCACAGCGCTGGGTGAGAGCGGGATCGCTTGCCGGGCTCAATGGGAACAGCCAGGATTTCACCACGGACAGTTTCACCAAGCAGAGTCCCCCGAGTTTCACGGACTGCATGGGTTTCACCCAGCAGAGCTGGATCCTTCGGGAGGCCCACGCGGACAAGTCGAACCCAAATCCGCGGATCCCCAGCGCCAGAGCCAAGGGGGACCCGCCGTGTGGGGCACTTCTCTCCACGCGTTCGGACTGCTCTGAACACTGCAGGGCTGCGATCCAGCTCCAGACTCGTGCTCCTCCTCTCTACGCTCCTTCTCCCCGCGCTTTGTGACACTGGGGCACTAGCCTGAGAATATGCATAGCCTGAGAACGTGCAAGGAATAAATCAGAGCCAGGTTTGAACCTCGTTTATGAACCATGTATTACTTCTTAAAAGCCCCTATGGGGCATTTGATGTTGGCATTAAGCTTGTATAATATTTTTGCTACTTATTTTCATTGCATATAAAACACTCCATTTTATAAGCTATACTACTTTTCAATGAGACCAAGTGTGCTTAGCACTATCTATGACCAACAGATCACACATTATTTGGGGCAGCCAAGTAGTAGTGTTTTTTAAAACCAGAAGCTCCCCAACACGTGAGGTCAAAAACTCGAGGCCTAATCGTTTGGTTCGTAGGCAAATCCACTGAAATTAAACAGACTGCAACTTAAGGATCAAGCCATTCCTCCTCCTGATAGAAGGATGGGACTGGTGCTTTGGGCAACGGCTCCACACAAAAAAGCTAAGGGCAACTTTGGTGCCTGCCCCCCATCCAAGCACCTCAGGTTGGAGAAAGACAAGGATGCTCCTGCAGCTCAGCACAAAGGCGCCGAGCAGATGCTTAACCCGCTCTCTCAAAATCCCTCCCTTCCCTGAGCCCCGGAGGAGGGAAGGGGGGACCCGAAAAGCGTCCAAGCGCACGAGCATGTCCAGCCATTCTCCAGCACCAACAGCCACGCGCGCCAGGACACCAACACCAGGCGCTTCTCTTAAGACATGTCAGCATCAACGCAAGGACACTGCAAACTAAACATTAAAGCTTTTAAACCAGTTTTCTTTGGTATCTAGGTCTTGCAGGCTGATTTAAGTTTTCCCAGCCCAAGTTAGGAGCAGGTTTCAGGCTGAGGAAGTCGAGACACAAACAGGGATGTCTGTCGCAGCCGCCGGCCGCTGCGAGGGCAGGTGCGTGCGCGCGGCAGAACTCGCAGGAATTAAATGGAAATCAGCTTTCCCTCATACCCATACTTTGGGTGGCCACACAAGTTTAATGACAGACATCTCTCTCAAAGATTATCCTTTAAAAGACTATTTTTAAACCATGCTGTCCTAGGATTAAGCCTAGCTGAAACACACTGCTTTGAAGAGTTTGCTTCCGGGAGGCTTTGGCTAAAAGGCAGCACAGTTGTTTTATCCAGTTTCATTAAGGTGTTTTCCTCACCCTTCTTTTAAAAGAGGTTTTGCCATCTCATCGCATCTCTGCCTCTTTCCGGCCCTTTAGTTTAAGCCTCCTTGCGAGCGGCAGCTCCCTGCCTGCAAACGGCATCGGGATTCCCGCAGAAAACCAGGACGTCCACACTCCTCGCGGGAAGGCAGCAGCAAGGAAAGGGCAGCTCCTCGGGATTCCTCCCCAGCCTGCCAAGAGCCTCCCAACATCAGGTCGCTGCTGTGCGCGGTGGCTGGCAAAGAGGCGACCCCTTTCCTTGGAGGGCCCTAAGGCACTTCAGCCCTGCTCGTGTGCCGGAGACCTCCTCTGGCGCAGAGCAGTGCCAGGGATCACAGCTTTTCCAAGGAGAAGAGCACGGATGTGCAAATTCCCCCCATTGCCGCGGGGCGGAAAGACCCTCTGCTCCCTACTTCAACCATCCCGTTTGCCACCAAAGGTCGTGAAGCAGTAGCTCCCTGGAGACCACATCAGTACTAAGGGCTAAACAGGAAGGCAAGAAACCGTAGTGTCAACTAAAGGCTTCCAGGGACTCTCAGTCACATGGTTTTAACTAAGACCATCTCCATTCTCCCAAACTTTTCCAAAAAGTCTGCTTCTCCAAAAAAAAAAAAAAAAAAAAAAAAAGATTATATCCCTGAAAGGGCTAATTCTCCCCTCAACTCCCAAGTTCTGAAGAGTCAGATTAATGTATTTTACGCAGAATTCTTTGGTAGTGCCCTGCAATACAGCAGCAAAGCTTCACATGGATCTAGCTGTTGGCCTTACGCTGGTAACTTCTCATTCTGATCTGTAGCAGAACAGTCCGTAAGGCCACAGGCCTGGCCCACCCTAAAATTAGACTAAAGCTTCCTGACCACTTCTGTGCAGCCTGGAGGGAAGCAGAGGCTGCGCCGAGTTACATTCTGTCACCGACAGAGGTATTGCAATCCCCTTTGAAATACAAACGCTGTGGACGTCTCTGAAACGCACCCTGAATCTCCAAAGCTGTGCTTATTCTTACTTTCGGAAAAAGGTACCACTTTGTTTTAACAAATCCACTCAACTTTATTCCCTTAAAGTCTCTCTACAGGGAGGGCAAGGAAAAAAAAAAAAAGAGCTAGTCATTTCACAAGAAATAACCTTAAATCAAGGGTTAGATTTCCCCTATTTTGATGCTCCTTGTAACCTCTGCTGTTATCCAAAATACTTGCACATACAGATTAAAAAAAAAAAACTTTCTAAAACAAACAAACAACCTAACTTAGCTTTCAAGTGAACGTGATAAAAGAAATACTCAAAAGGACAGGATACATTAAAGGGAGCCTTGCTTTTCATCTAAACTTGATGATGACTGTACTAAGTCACTAGAATGAATAATTTGGTTTAAACAAAGAAGTAAAATGAATAATTTGGTTTAAACTTAAGTATTGTGCATTTCTATCAGGTTTGCTTTGTGCTGATTACTGCGCTTTTTTTAGAAAAAAATACACAGAAATGCCAAAAAAAAAAAAAGATGCAAACTTGCTCTTTCTGGCGAGTGAATCCACTCGCTTTCACAAATCGTTTAGTCTTCTGGAAAGGAGACACTGTGCTCACCAGTAAATCAAACACACTGAGGTATAAAAAGGAGAACAGGAAAAAGTTCTCTGCTGCAGCAGCAATTCAAAAAAAAAAAAAAATCCCCCCTCCCATGTCCCCAACCCACAGAACTGCAGTATAATGAAGAACACAAATTCTCTACAAATACCTATTACTTTTTTTTTTTCCTCCCTCCATCAAAAAAAAAAAAACAACAACAAAACACTATATAGAGCCTTTTTGGCTTATTCTACAGAATTCACCACACAAATCACCTAATGTGCACAGCAACACATGTTTGTGCATGGAACCCCATCCGGGGGAGAGGTAAAACTTTCTGAACTGTGAGTATGTGGGGAGGGGAAGGGGGAAAAAAACAAGGGAAGGAAGGGAGGACAATGAGGTAGATAGAATTTAACTTTACAGGCTCACTCCCTGCAGAAAAGATAAGTACATTCATCTGTAAAAAAATTAAAGATGAGGTAGGTTTGAATTAACGTTGTATTTTTCTTTCATTTTCTCTTAGAAGAATTTCCCTGAGACAGTTTCTTCCCAATTGAGACACCGATTAGAAGACGAGGATTCGATTGTTTCCGAAGTCGACGACCACAATCATGCCGTCGGGGGTGACGGCGATACCTGAAGGACGGTCCATCTGACCAAAGCCGCTTCCCTGAGTGCCAAACTTGCATAAAAAGCTACCGTTGGACTCAAATATCTGCACCCGGTGGTTCCTGGAATCGGCCACGATGATGCGCCCCTCCTGATCCACGGCCACCCCCTGCGGGCGCAGGAACTGCCCGTTGCCGGTGCCCTCGGAGCCCAGGAAGCGCGCGGACTGGCAATCTGGGTGGATGACCAGGAGGCGATGGTTGTTGAAGTCTGTCACTACCAAGTGGCCCTCATGGTTGAAAGTCACACCTCTGGGGGAGTCAAAGTGCTTCCAGAGCGCCCCTTCGAAGCCGTACTTGTTGAGGAACACACCGTCGGGCCCAAACAGCTGCACGCGGTGATTCCTTGTGTCGGAGACCAGGATTTTGCCCTCCGGGTTGACAGCCACATCCCATGGGTAGTTGAATTGACCGTTCTTGGTTCCTTTCTCCCCAAACTTCAGAATGAACTGGCCCTCAAACGTGAAGATCTGGATACGATGATTGTCCTTGTCGGCCACGACGATTCTCCGCGAGATGTCACAGGCCACGCCAGCGGGACGGTCGAACTGGCCAGGCCGTGAGCCTAGCGTGCCGAACTTGTGGTGGAAGGTCCCGCAGGGCTTGAACACCTGGATACGGTTGTTGCTGCGGTCTGCGACAATGATGTAGCCTTCCTTGTCGACACTAACGCCCCAGGGGCGGCAGAGCTTCCCATCGCTGTCCCCCTCGCTGCCGAACGAGAGCCCGGGGAGCCCAATGCCAATGTAGCTGCGGCCAGATTTCACCATGACCTTGAAGGGGCTGTTCTCGATGTGCTGGTTGCACATCATCACGGACACCAGGTGCTCTCCCTCCAGCTGCGGACGGTAGCTGACCAGGTAGGTCCCGTTCTGCTGATCGCTGACATCTGCTCCAAAGAGGTTTCCATCCGGGCCCATCACCACTGCGGAGATCATGTCGCCCCCGGAAAGACGAGGCTCGCCATCGTGGTCGTAGCCGATCACTGTGAAAGAGGCTACTTTGCCCTGCAGCGCACGCTTGAGGCCTTCCCCGGTGGCTTTGGTGAGAGGAGCGAAAGCCCCACTGCTGACAAAGCCCATCGATTTAATAGCCATATATAGTGCCTGATCAGGTGGAGTAAACATGATCCTGTCATCCTCCTGGGGCTGCAGGAGGCCTCTCACGTTCTTCAGCTCCTGCACCTGAGCCAGCATACGGTCCCGAGCCAGAAGAATATCCATGGTGCGACCTTCCTCCAGCACCTGCTGCACAGCACTGATAGTGTTGTCCAGCTTATTCAGGTTCTGACGGAGCTTCTCAACTTGCAAGTAGAGCGATTTCGCCTTGACTTGACGGATCTTTTCCACCTTGTGTGTACAGGAAGGAAGGGAGAAGAGGAGAGGAAACAGAAAAACGTGGAACGTTTATGTCAGGAAAGACAGCACTATTTCCCAATGCGACTCTTACGCATAAAGAAGTTACACAGTTGTCATAGGATGTGATAACCGAACAGAACTGCGGAACAAGCCCTCCGGAAACCATGATGGGGAGAGAGAAATGAGCAAAACCGGCCGTGTCCAGATGAACATCACTCCCGTGACACGCACCTGGGGCGGCGGGGGAAGGGAGAGAGGAAATTATTGCTCTGGGGGCTGCACTGGTCTGCCATTGGGAAGGGAGAGGTGCTTGTTTATTAGCTAATAACGATTTCCTTCCTCAACTGCTACTCTGCCTTCTACTCTGCATGTCTTCGGAAGGCACATCTTATTGGAATGCTGGGAGGTAGAGAAATTTCTGTGCATTCAAGATGACAGTCCCTATTTCATTCCTCCCTCCCCCAAACACCAAGCAGACCCTACTCTGAAAGGAGACTGGAGGCCAATTTGCATTTCAGAAGGTGGCTGCTATTGCATTAGACTGAGGCTAGGAGTTAGCTAGGAGGTAGCATCAGCTGGAAGCGGGTTCTCCGGACTTCCCAGTCTGCCAGGATTGTGCTTTCAGTTCAGGCTATTTGTATGCGACTGGGTAATACCAGATATCTCACTCCAGGACTCTTGGGGTCAATTGTTTGGTTATTTTCCTTATTGCAAATACTGGCAATCATGCTAAGCTACTGCTTTACACAGGACAGCTTAAAATGTCACTTAAAAGGACACAGGCGACTGCTGCTAGCTCCTACTTAGAAAACTGAAGCTCAAACAATACGGCTTGTTTACAACTATTTTACATATGCCTGTGGTTCTTTTAGAGTTTCTGGCAAAGACAATTCTTTTGTAAAAGTAAGTGAAAGATGTAATTACTTTGTTGCTGCAAAAATGCATTTCATTACTGCGCTGCAACCAAGCAAATATTGAGACTAACCAGCAAAGTACTGTAGTGAAAAACAACTTGCTGCCTAAAGACTCCAGTCACAGCAGAGAGCAGATGAAAGGAATTCACTGCAGACACAAACATGCTGTTTCATTACAGTTACAAGCATGCAGGTTTTACTTGTGTATTTAAATATATATATATATACACACACACACACATATAAACGCTTCTTCCAGCAGCTCATTAAAAATCTCCAGTTTTCAGAAATGATACAAGTTTTCAGAAGAGATTAGGAAACTTGCACACTTTCAGTGCTTCTGCTTTGATACCCCAGATTATTTACCAATATAATTCCTGATGCTGGGTTTAAACTTGCTGCTTCTTTTTTTCCTGGCTTTTTTTTTTTTTTCCAGAACAGGCAGCAGATACACAGAGCCTGGTCTCCGATTGTACTTAGTCTGGTACAAACGAAGATTTCAGGAAAAATTAGTCTCACAGGATTCCTACTAGTCTGTTCCAAGGAGGGGAAAAAAAAAAAAGTTTCCTCTACATACAAATGAAAGAAGCAAAGTGGAGCATACGAGCTGTACATAAGTCTACAGTGGTGTACTGAAGAGCTTTAAGAGGATAATTTCTTTTGAGCACAAGATGCTCCCCCACACTGTCGGTGCCGGACTCTTCCAGAGCCAGCAGAGGGAGTGCCTGCCTTTCTCGTGGTGGTGTGTGAGCAGATGGGAATCTCTGTTTTAAAAAAACAAACCCGCAAACAACCCTCTTCTCCCCCGCCCAGTTCCTAATGCTAAGGGACCCCTTCCTTCCATGGCCATCTCTGCACAGCCTCCAGCATCCTGCTTCCCACAGGAGCGCAGCTCGGCCCTGAAACCACAGCCTGAACTCACCGAGCCCGCGTTCCTTAGATGGGTATCAGCCTGACCCCGTGCCAGTTGCAGAGCGTGTTTCCAGTTTAAAAGGTTACCTGCCGGCAATTAAAGTGTGCAAAACACAGATGCTGGGCGCATACCTTCCAGAGCAGCTCGCACTCCCGCTCCTCCAGGGCCTTCTTGTGCCTCGTTGTCACTGCTTTGACTTCAGACTGTACCACCTTTGCCTTCATCTCAACCTGCTCTGCCACGGCCTGGGCCTGTTCGATGCTCAGCTGGAGGGAGAAGGAGTGAAAAAATAAAACAAATCCCATAGTTAAAGTTCAGCCAACCCAATTAAAACTGTGTTAAAGAACTGGCTCTTACGGTTAACTCTATGGCTGCAGCAGAAGGCACAGAGTGACTCACCAGAATTTACCAAGCCTTCACCCATTTCATCTATCAAACTCTGGAAGCTGACATAATTTAAGAAATCCACTATATGGGCATGTGCCTCCAGGGTACCCTGCATCAACACCACAAACCAAGTGCTGCAATTCCAGCAAGCCGTTGATATGAACTCAAACACAGGAACCATATAGATATATAGATGTATAGACCAAGCTGCTAATTTTGTTATTAATACCCTACAGTACTAGTATTGAAATGCACTCTGTGATAGTAATTCGAAAACATAAGGAACGCGTTAGGAAGGAACATGTACACTAACTAACCTCTCTTCTCATGTAAAAGAGAAAGAAAAACGCAGTTTTGTAAAATTTGCCTCTCAAGCTGCTCCCAGTTTCACAAGCTTTTACAGAAAAGAGCATAAAAACAAACAAGGTAAGAGCAGGCAAATCAGAGGGATCAATACTACTAAAAAGGAAAAAGTCTGATAACAAGAATTAACTGGTTCTTTACAAGTAAAGGTCATGCAGTGAAGCCACATTAGGTGTGCAGATTAGGTAGTGAATCCTTAAAAAAAAAATCAACAGAAGGCATAAGTTTTAGTTACTGAATCCTAGAGGAAAAAAGTCGTATAGGGACTGTACTAACCAACATTTGATTCTCCTTTCCTCCTACTGTAAGGAAAGCAGAGCACAGCATCTTTTTACTTTCAGAATTTTAGGAATTCTGAAGCTTCTTATATCAACATACGGTAAATAATTATCTAACTCCCTCCAAACCTCCACCAGCTTGACTGGCAAGAATTTAGTTTGTCGATGGCTGAGAAAGGAACTCAGGAATTCACCTCTTTGCTCTCCTCATTACATACTGAAAGCCATGGACACACCCAAGGGTATTTGTTTTCCAAATGCAGCATTTCTGTATAGGCTTTACAATGCTCTTCCCTCATCCTGGTCTGAGAGATTGGCCCATTTCTCCATTTTTGACCGGCCTGGCAAGGGAATTCCCTGTCAAGGGAATGCTCTGGCCCGACAGCATTTTCAGGAAGCTGCACTTCACGTGCAATGTTGTCCAAGATACTGTTCCTCAGAAATGCTGCCTTGATAATCAGAAGGCAAGAGAGTAAATTGCTAAGAAGTTTACAGTAGTACATTTAGGGCCTTCTGGCAAGTATCCTCAGTTTAATTCCGTACTAATCAATGAGCCACCTGATGTGACAGTCTCACTATCTGATACGATCCAGCTTTGGGCAGGAAGTCAGACAAGGGCCTTTTTGTTATCTTTTATGGAAGTTAGTCATCGGTATTTCCAGAATCTGATCTGGCAAATGTAACAGTAGCTAATCTGTACTAATAATGGGAATGTTACCACTCAATAGAACATCCTCATGAAAGCAGAGCTATACTGACATTTGGATATTTTCCATGTCATGTAGTTATTCTCAAACAGCTAGACTAAATTAACTGTATTTTTCTCAGGTCACATGAGACTAGAGAACTGAAAGGGAAGAGAAAGACCATGCAAATCGTCAGAGGATTGGAGACTTGGAAAGTTTTCCTTGGAGTTGTCTTTCATCTCAAAGACATGGGCAGTATTTCTGGCTTTAATACCAGGAAGCCAACAGCAAACTGTTTGGTAAAGAAAACAGGAGGATTGCTTTAGGACTCCTCTGTAGAGCAAGGCAACTGAGAGGAGCACGTTCCTCCTTCACACAGCTTCCAGCTCTGTCACCTTTGCTGCAGTATTAAACAAGGCTTTAGATTCAGGGACAGTCCAGTTACCCACTTCCACTAGAGGCAGATCTGACTTGTCTTCACACAAAGCTTCTGATAGACAAATCTGACCCCAGGCTTCAAAGACCATGGAAAGTGAAAAACGATTACAACAATTAGCAAAGCACAGATGAAGTCACAACTGCTCACAAAGACTTCTTGTAATCCAATAGTCCTTGCAAGAAAAGGTCTAAATGCAAGAATTACTGTGCTTCTATTTCATCTGTGTCTCACGATTCAAATTTTGAAGCAGCTTCTATTTACTGCAGGGAAAAAGCATGCATTTCTTCAAAACAGACCTGGAAAAGTCTTTAACAAGTGCAGCAAAACACCCTCCTGCTTTTGCAAAGGGAAGCAAACATCTCCTTAAATATTTACATGGTAGGAAAACTACACGGCCCATGCATATTTCAAATCTAGCTAAGATCCCTGCAAAGGCAGAAAGATCCTGGCTTACTTGTTTGAGCTTTCTGAACAGCAGTATTCATTAGGACCATGGTCTGTGTGTTTCCTCATACCTTATAGCTAAGGGCAATCCCAACTGCCCTCACAGTATTTTCCACCACTCAAGGAATCCAAGAGGTATTAATCTCTCCAGGTGGTGATCTTCCAGCTGTAGGAAGCCCAGGTACGGCAGAGTAAGTGACTCTGCTGTGAATGCATCCCCACCTGCTAGTTCCTGGAAGTTGCACTCTGCAGCATGAGGGTGTCTACCAACAACCCATGATGCCATCCTGACCTACTCCACAGATCTGAGTCTGGAACAGCTCACCAAAGGGCAGTGAAGGACACCTGAAATACTAAAGCTGTAATAAACAGGCTATTTTTGGATTGCCGAGATACTGACAAAGCTTTGGACAAGATCACACTACCCCTCGTTATGCCAAAACAAACTAGAGCAGCCTAGGAAGGGAGGACGGGCAAGATAGCTATATAAAGCAGCAACATTTCTTCATCTGGTCAGGCACAATCTACAGCAAACCCTTATTAAAAGAAAGCACCTCATATTGATTAACTCAAGTACTGGAATATTTATCACCTGCCACTAGTGAATGAGATTGCTGGCCAGTTCACACACTTGGGAAACACAAGATAAGGGCTGGGTTTAACAGAGCACCTGATTCAGTTATTCAAGATGAGAGGGGTGCCAACTACGCTGGCCCTTGCTCTTGGTTGCTACAGTAAATTCCTTATTTGTAGTTAAGATCTATTCACTTGCATGACTTCACTGTGACCAACGATGGTCAAGACGCTCCTCCTCCTATGCAGGACGTCAGCGTGTGCACGCGCGTGTGCACACTTCTACCCAGGCTGTGATGGAAGGACGATCGACTTGCACCCATTTTTTTTGCAAAGCTGCGTTTCAGATTCCCAAACCTGCGCAGACTGCCTGCAAAGCCACGCACCCCAGAACGACTCTGTCTCGGAAGCTGAAGCGACAGGCCCAGACTGCAGCACAGCAGTGCCATCCTGCCTGGGCAGAGCCTCCCAGCAGCACGGGCTCCGTGTGGAAACCCCCAAGGAGGCTCCACTGATGCCAACCCATCCGCTTCCTTCTCAGGCTGACCCCGTTTCTGACAGGATCCCCCTCCTTCTCCAATGTTAACGTGTTCAGGCTCTGACTCATCTGCTTTCTACCACCTCCCCTCAGGGACCTCCTCCACGTAGTGCGAGGCCAAGAGGCTACACAGCTTGAGCAGCTCTCCATACCACCAACTCTTAGGCCTAAGATGTTGGAAGGTAATGGAGCTGCTTCCTCTGTGTCCTGCTTCTCCAGACCTGCTGCAAGCTGCAACTTTCATATTAATACACTGCCAACACCCCAGCAAAAGCAAAGCTAGGGCTAGCACTGCAGTTCAGTTTTTTTAATTATTATTTTATTATTAAACACAAGCAGCATATAAGGATCAAATTATATTTTAACTTGCTCACCTGGAAATTAACCCTAAATGGGAGCACTCAGTGCTTCCCTGTTGTGCAAGTGCGTTAGATTACATGCACATACATACATATATATATAACATGTATATATACAATTACACATGTATAGATGTATTTTAAGAACATGACATTTTGAAGAAGCCATCTATCTTTCATCGTAAGAGATTTACGTTCTGTTTGTGACCCAGTCCTTGGGAAACGCCTGAAAGAAGCCAGCCACGTATGCAGTTTCATGAGGTAGAACAAGACAGCACACCAGGCTCCTGTGTCAAAAGGGAAGGGGCCTTCCCCCACCCGTCTCTGCATTAATCTGGTATCAACTCTGGCTTTCAGACCCTTCTGTGAGTCAGTTCAAGTCACTGAAAGTGCCAGAAAACCACCCTGTCTGGGAGGGTAGCTTTCCACTGCCCAGGAAGAGGTCCTCCAAGGCCCAGAGATGGTTATTCCCATCCCGCTGCCCACCACCACAAACAGTGCTCATGGCAGAGCGCCCATCCAGCCCAGAGAGCCGACCCAGCCCAGAAATAATCCTACAGAAAGGTTATCCTTTCGGCTGGATCAGCTCGCCACTTGGTTGCACAAGAACGAGGTCTCAAGTTAGGGACAGATTTTGGAAGGCCCGACCCGGGCAGGAGCAGAGCAGCACGGGCGAGCACGAGCAGGAACCCCCCGAGGGAAGCGAGGCCCTCGTCACGGCCCCGCCGTTCACCACAGTGGAGCTCGGCGCCCCGGTACAGGGAGCTTGCTCAATCCACAGAAGCCCGAGCTCGTCTCTCACTCCTGAAATGGATCCCAACTCACAGCTTCTCTCCTTTTCCCTTTTTTTTTTCTCCCCGCTCTGCTTTCAGACTGAAAAACAATCTCCTCCAAAACCGCAGGAAGAGTTTAAATAAACACTTCTTCCTAAAAGCCTTCAACTTTGGTTAACCAGATACTCTCCAGCAAGCTGACCCGTGGCTTGACTTCCTCCCTCCTGCAAGGCCCTTCAGCAGAGCCCACCTTTCCTTACGACGAGTCGAGCAGAGTGGCCCGGGACAAACCCTCCACCCAAGGAGGGCTCTCCTTGCCCATCCGCAACAGCTCATGTCAGAGAGCTCTTGCTTTCAGAGCCTGCTAACAAAGAGAGTACTAGTAAAGCAGTTTGATTCAGTCCCGTTAAGAACTGCTACTGCACCATATTTCTTTTAATACCCTTCTATATTCCCCGCATGACTGTTTGTGACTAGGACCACAATTTAATGTTATGTTAAGTTTCCAACCTCCAACAAAAGCCCCCAACCAATTTTTTTTTTGATTTAGAGTCTAATCAGTTTAGGATGTGCCCTAAGTCCACGCTGACATACTCTTCTTCCCTATATGAACATATAGTTTCACAGCACAGATTTTGTATGGCAGGCTCACCGCGTTGCTTCTTGATGGGAACACCTCTGCTTTTCTTTCAGCTGTGTCCCAAATTCATCTAGTTTTTGCTGAAATTGCTTATGTACCATCTGCCTGAAGTTGTATAAGGAATTATTCTCAAGGATACACATAGAGGTTACCACCTCCTCCGCTCTATCACCTGTGTTTGCTCGTTATGCCTATTTTAAATGGTGATTCTGGGGAAAAAATATTCAGTTACTAATAATTGTTTTGTTTGTAAAATGAACCAAGATTTTTAAAATAAATAAATAAATAAATCTTGCACCCACTCTTTACTATTCGGCAAACCATCTATTGAATACAACCAAGACTGTCTCTTTGCCTGCATGGGCAATACCCAGCTAGACCAGGGCTATGTCAGTAGGTAGCTCAACTAGGCCAAGACAGACAAGTAAATTCATTTGAGCTGTTTCTATGAATTGCACAAAGAAGGTCTTTACCACCCACCCTGGAGCTAGACCATCACTAATGGCAGCCCACTGCAACAGCAGGAGCCTGCAGTGTAAAAAGCAGAGGAGAACTGGAAGAAAGCAGAGCAAACCCAGTAGGAAGCACGCAGTACAAAAGCGCTCATGCCAGGACTAGCAGAGTGATCCTCTATGTCACTCTGTTACTTTCTGCTCCAAGAGACAGTCACTACTTAGATGATTTATCTGCACCAGTTAGATGATTAAGAGCCCTGGAGGTCAAAAGCAGTAATTTAATTACTAACAGACAAGCCCTTGTTTAGGCCAGCTTGGAGAAATTCAAAACACTGCTCTGGTGAGGTTCTTTAAACTAGTATAATCCCTTCCTTCTTGCTCATTCTGGGAACATGTTAAATGCTTCAGTATGGCTTCCACGGAAGAGCCTTATGATCCATGCTGACAATTTAAAAACACATCTTGGAAGGAGCTGAGGTTTGCTGAATCCTACGTAAGCATGAGGCTCTAAATTAGGCATTCAGCTCCAAAAACTTACGCTGCTCTGACGTACATGGCTAACAAGTTAACATCAAATGCTCTAGGGTGACCTCAACAACAGTTTAGTGTCTATTAGCATCACACTGATTATTTCATGATGCAGGTGCAGAGACTTGAAGAGAAATTAGCTGCTCCTGTCCCACTCTTGCAAACTATTTTATTCTCACTAATCAGTGAGGCAGGAAATTGTCACCCATATTGCAGAAAGGGATCCAGCTTTAAACAGACAACAGGCAAATCTCTCTCTCCCACACAGGCACCGCTCCACACACCCATCAAGACACACAAACCTTATCCGAAGTAACGTGCCCTGAGCACACAGAAATGCAGTCGTGCAGCAGGGAAGTAAGCTAGGAGAAACTGAAAGGAGAGACCACTGCCAAAAGCAGTGTAGGAAGAGACCTAATACATTATTTAGTAAGGAAAAAGAGGTAAGAACCCACTGAAATCCTTATCTGCTACAGATAAGCAGTTTTCATTTGTAGCATGTATGTTTGTCAGGAAAGGGAAGAATAAAAAAAGTGGGGCTACGTGCAGATATTTCAGAGAAAGCTTATGTCATGTTTTGCTAATATATACGCAAAAGAACGTGTTATTGAACCCATTTCACACAGAAGTGTTGAGTTTCAGCCAAGTGTCCAGATCAAATCTGAAACAGCTGAGGATGACATAGCTAGATTTGGCGGAGAGGCTTTGCAGAAGCCTGGAAGTGGGCAGTGCAACAGTACTAAGTGCTCACTTGCCCTGCAAGACTACCCAAAAGCTTTGAAGAATGTTCAGGGCCTAGCTTCTCATTACTTTTCCAACCAAAAATCGCTGTAGAGACAAAGTTATGGCTAATATCATATAACAGTTAATTTCATTTTCTTCGCAAAGTCCTTTTGCAGTTTGAAGCACTGTGCTCTTTCCCTTCCCTCTCTCATGCTTCCATTGGAAGACTATACATCCTGCCTCAGCTATAACAAGCAGCTAGAACATGCATCTGTGTATGCAGAGTAACATTTTAAATGGAGAGGGGCTACACAACCAGTTTTGGCCACAGAATGATGTATTGTCTACATGCTCCATTCCCCCACAGGTGCAGGTTAGAAATTTCACACTAACCCCAACAGCTGATTAAGACTTTGCATTTAGAGGCAATATTGAACCACGCTCCTAGTGCGGCCCATGCTTCTAGTGCTAGTAGGCATGAAAGCTGAAATTCAGCCTCAGTTGTAAAAACAAAAGTGGGTTTGGTGCTACTGTACAGAATCAGAATTTTGTTCAAAATGCTTCACGCTCAAGTTGATTTGCCCAGAGCTTTAGACATATTGCTATTTACAAGACAGGACGACGCCGCAAGAATGCAAAATTCACAAAACAGCATTTTGTTTTCAGCTATACAGACACTTCTGTCAAAAATCTCAGAGAACAGAAGGAGCGGGAAGGCTGGCAGCAGAAGCAGAGCGAGCTTTCTGCCTGACACCTTGCCCTGTAACAGACACAGCTTGGGGTGGGGGGGTGGTTGGGTGGGGGTGAGGGGAAGAGACAGAAAAGGGATAAAAATAAAATACTCAAGTGTATCTTACTTGAATAGCCTGCCGTCCTTGCTGAGCATCTGCCAGGAGCTGGATGGTGAGAGTCCTGGAATCCTGCAGGGCATCTTGGAGGTAGATAAAGCTGTGACCCACATGTCGTCCCATGGTACATTCCCGACATATGGGGACAGAACAGGTATCACAGTAGAAATGCAACACCTAGAAGAGAAAAACCTTTATCATTACCTATAATAAAGAATTAAAAGTGCCAGGAAGGAAAAGAGCCCAAGCAAGTAACTATAAAAGGAGATGTTATAGGTTACAGTGATAGGCAAAGACTTCACAATAGTTTCTCCGCAGAGGAAGAGCCATCCCTCCTAGCAAGCTCCAGATCATACCCCAACAGTTGGATGAAAGTTTCGTTGTTTTCTTTGCAATACAATACTAGGAAGAATGTCCCCATCAGCCTTCTCTTAAGAACGGAAGCCATCTGCCAACACTCGCAGATTGGAGATGTCACCTATGGCAAGTTTCAGAGGAATACTCTTCCTGCCTACACAAACACTGCATTCTCTTAGGTGGGTTGTGTATTGAAGTGTCCCAGCCCATCTCCTCTACCTGGGAAGGGGAAGGCAAGTCACCCATGTTTAGAACCATCCTCTCTACTTTCGCAAAACATCACAACTCTTGCCTTCAGGGCAGGGGCATTATTAGGCACAACTCCCTTCTACAATCCCCCAAGAAAGCAGGTCTGCTAAGTGCCATAGTGTTTCATAGGCTTGGGATATTTGGAGACACTCAAGTTGGAGACCAAAACTGCATGTTAACTTGTCCATTCTAGCATTTAAATACCATAGAAAACTCCGGGTAACAACTAAAGACAGTTTAATATTCACATAGTACTTGGACAAAAAAAAAAAGACCCTCTATATTCAATTTGCTGTGTTTTACACAACATGCTATCTCACAAAAAGAAAGCAGCATCCATTCATCATCTGTAACTATTTTCATTCCTCCCAGCAGAGGGAAGTGGTATGCAGAAATAACCTCTCCCATGGAATCGCGTTTTCTTAAGAGTCAAAATCATCTGTGTGGCCTTTTTTAAAGATGCAAGTGAAAGAGTAAAAAAAAAAAATGAATACAAGACTTTGCTGAATTAAATTCTCTCAGCTATGTAACCTTAAAGCGTATTATAGTGAGAAAGTCTCAGATTACCATGAAAGATTTAAAAATCCACTACAGGATTAGACCAAGTAGAGTTTCCACACTACAAGTAGGTTTTTTTATCCATCATCAGCTGTTTGATCCCTACCTCATGGAAAACAGTAAAAGCAGAACAGGCTGTACAAGCACTCAGTATCTGGCTTGTTTCATGGCTGCCACCCAGCATCTTCCAGGTCCACTGCATAGTTCACGGCACAACGTGTGACATCCGCTCTGCCCTCCTCCCCCAGAAGGAAGGGGGGAGGAAGACAGGTGATCCCATCAAATTTCCTGTATCGCAGGAGCCCTGCTCAAAACTCTATGAGTGCAACAGCTGAAGCGCTACACGGATTAGTTCCTCAAAGGGGTGTGTGTCTGAGTGCGTGCGCGCGCGTGCCAGAGAGGTTTTACTGAAATCCCTTCTTTTGCAAGTTAGGTTTTGCTGTATTTGAGCTCCTTTTATTTCTGTTCAAATACCAAATCCCCATGTAGTATCTCAGATTCTCCTAGTCTTCTGGAAGGATGTGCTGCCTTAGTTCCCAAATGCATTAGTCAAATAAAACAGCATCTTCTTCAACTAGAGGACTCCCTGTCTTTATGCTAAGGTTGCCTAAATCTGAATAGTGTTTACTTTTTTTTTTTTTTTTTTTTGGTGCAGCTCTGTAATTGCACTGTTGAAATTATAGGGAACATTTATTACATGTTGCTGAATGAACTCCACTTAAACAACTGAGAAGTTGGAGAGGATGAAAACCAAGACAGGGTATCAAGTTAAGTCATATGAATCCGATGTACTTTAAAAACCTACAGTAGGGATTTGGGGCCTCAATCAAGTAGAGCAGCTGAACGGAAAATGGTGACCATATGAGCAGAAGCTCCCAAGCAAGCTAAACCTGACTTCAGTTGTCTCCTTCCACCCCCGCAAAAACAGCTAACACCAAAAGTAGGGTAAACACCAGCAAACAGTCCCGTTACCTAGGCCCAGGTGCTCCTGCTGCAAGGTGACCATGTGCAGTGGTTGACAGTTATTCAATTGCTCAAGCCAAAGGGAAACTATATCTAAGGTGTTCAGTTGCCTCTTGCCTCCCAAAAAAAAACGCACAATGGAAAAGATCACCCTTGAATTCACAAGAACAGGACACTTCAGAAGTGCAAATTACACAGGAGAAAAACAAAAAACTTCCCCAAAACACCGCAGCAGACAATCACAACCCAAAACACAGCTCTTGAGCAGGCACTAGAAACCATTGATAGTTTCTTAGTAATGAGAAAATGGTGAAGACAAAGTTCACAACCTAGATGTAAATCTGAGAGCAAAGAGGTTTTAATGAGCCTGGGGGAGGGAAGGGAAGGGGGAAGCAAATACGGGCGATCCTGCATACTCTATCATTACCCTGTTATTTCAAAGTTATCTTAAATACACACGTGAGAAAGCCCCATGCATAACCCCCGCGGCGGGCGCTCGCTGGGGAAGGGAGCCAGCCGCCCTGAGCAAACTGCGGGCGTGAGTCAGCCTCGAGACGGCCGCGGAACCTTCCAGAAGGCCCTTCCTGGACGCGAACGGGAGGCAGTGGAGCAAACGGAAGCTCTGGAAGAAGTGCCAGGAAGGCAGGTCTCCCGCTGCGTCCCTCTGGCCACGCAGGCAGAGCACTGGGAGTCCCCAGCTCCCATTCCCCGGTCACCTACTGGCAGGGACATGTTTCGACGCCGCTTCCTAACAGGAGGAGGGAGAAAATAAGCAAACACAGTGGACAGGGCAAGCGACTGCTCCCCCTGCGCCCTTTTCTCCTTGCTTTTTTAAAATGAAAAGACCAGTCCCGAACTGGGGATAGGTGAGGGGAGTGGGGAGGAAGGGAAAGCAATTCCAAGTCTCCCCTAAAACAGCTTGGCTGCTAATGTCAAAGTTTAAGCAGCAATACTTGGAAGAAAAGTCCTGAAACGTATTTAATTATTTATTTATTTAAACCCTGTCCTGCCTTCAGGGAGAGCAATGGGGGTGGAGAGGACAGAAGTCACGCTACAATTTAAGCCACCACTCAGGTAATTCGCCTGTTTCCCAAATGTCTGAGCAAGTTTTTTATGAACAAAGTCTTCAAATGCTCTAGTTTTCCCGACCAGCATAAATGTTCCCATAGAGGTGGAGAAAGGAGAGAGGAGTGGAGTGAGCGATAGGAGAGCAGAGCCATTTCTTCTTTCCAAGAACTTCAGAATTTTCTAAGCTCTATTTAAATGATTCTTTTCCCTATAGTAATTAATCTGTAAAGGATTACAGCAAGATAGGATTCTTCTATAATAAAACAAATGGATACCACATCAAAATACATTTTGCTAAAAGTCAATATTGTTCTAGTGGGGAGGGGGAGAAGAGAGAATAATTCGTAAATTATTTTTAAATCACTTTATTACATTAATTAATATATTATCAGTTTCCACCAAAATTGAAAGAAGATGGGAAAAGGCAGAAGTGAAAGGGGGAATTGCTTTGGAGATAGTTGATAGTGATTTATTTTAAAATAAATCAGCTATGGGTTGATTATTTCCCAAACAGGAAATATTTCCTGAATTGGTGGCATACAATTTTCGACACAAAACAATAAAGGGAGCCTACTTCAATTTAAACAGAATCAGTGAACCATATTACAGGGCTATTCATCTTTTACAGCCGCAGCAGCCCCAGAAATACAACAGCAAGGCCATAAATGTGATTGCTTCAGGAAAGGCTGTACAGTGTACCGTAAAAAACATTTTACAACAGCGGGAATTCCTGGGTGTCGCTCTCCCCATTTTTTGGTCCATCTGCTTTCAAAGGGGGCCGGGGGAGGGGTGGCCACGTTGTTAAACGTCCCCCGGGCCGGCGCGGCCATCAATCATCATCTGATGAATGGCCGCGAGAGCTAAACCCTGACCCCGCGCCACAATTCCCACACCAGCCGGACCGCTGACCGCCTTCCCGCACCCCCTCCTGCCTCCCAGCCCTCGCCAGAATCGCCCAAATACCAAGGGCAGACAAAAGCAGTGGAATGTAGCGGGCACCGCAGACCCGGCGAGAACAGCAGCGAGGAGGCTTATCCTTAACCTATAGCTAAATAACCCCCTCTCGGCAGCATTAAGGGTGCCCTTTTCTCCTCCCAACTTACACGGAGCACCCGCCTCCCCTCGCGCTGGAGCACCTTTAAGAGCATATACGCATGCACATGCTTAAGAGCATATACGCATGCACATGTCAATTAACAGAAGCCACCTAACTGCATTGCTGCATTTAGTTTCGGCCATGGCATTTCAGTATCTTGTAAGGATTTTATTTAAGCTCACAGTGCTAACAGTTTGTAACACAAGGACAGATTTTAAGGTGTCCAGTTCTCTGCAAGCTACCCAATAGCCTTGGATAAACCAAACAATGAAAAATACAAGCAAAAAAGTAGCCTGCTACATTTTGCTTTTGAAAGAAAAGAATCTCTATTTATCTTTTGTAACTTATCCTGAGTTTATGAAAAAAATGAACACACACCATACCCTACCCGTCTAGATATTTTTTCCCACTACTAAAGGTATTTTTTTATCTAGTTGCCTTGACTGTAACACGTGCTACCAAAGTCACTGGTGTTTGAAAAGCTTGCACCGTTACGAATTCATTATAAATTCACTTTCTCATGATTTTCTCCCATTTTGCTCTGCCGTCTTCCAAAACACTGGAAGAAAAACCTGCTTCCCTGCATCATTCATGCCGCACTTCTCCCCCCCTCCCTCTTTGTACACACACCACTCAAGACACTGGTTCAGTGTTTGGTGCAGATGGTCACTGTGGAGTTTAATTGGAAAGAGGTAATTTTTACTCTGTAGGAAGCTGGCCCTGATTTCCACTTCGAGGACAACTTGTGACAATTAACTTAGTTGTCACCACGATTAGAGCAGCATTTTAGGAACTTCAACTCCTACAGAGATGTTATATATACTCTCAGCTTAAACTCCAAATATAGATCTTTAAGACTGGAGCAAATCATATGCTACACACTAG